CCAGCAGATCCAGGCTCAGGGAGGGGGCGGGGCCATCTGCCGCAACTGTTAAGATGAGGAGAAGAAGAGCGGACAGAGACATACTGTTGGAGAGGCAGATAGTAACTAATAATTAAACGCAGAGAGGTGTATAAACACATCGTGAGCAAAAAAAGTAAGTGAAGAAGAAACACTCCAGGCATCATGGGATCCCACAGCAGCCTGGACCTATTGCAGCGTACCCTTGGTAGGATTCAGTGTCACCTGATCTATATGCTATAACACAAAATACTCTTGGAGCCGCAAGTAAGCCAGCAGTCTGAGAACCAGACTGCCGCCTCTAATCTGGTGATCTGGTACGCCAAGGTCATTAAGATGAGATAAGATGGGCCTGATTATTCAAGACCTTTTATGTGAGCAGCAGGATTTTAAATTCAATTCTGGATTTAACAGGAAACCAGTGAAGAGAAGCTAATATAGAAGAAATATGTTATCTCTTTCTGGTCCCTGTCAGTATTTTTACTGCAGCATTTTGAATCAACTGATGTCGTTTCAGTTAGTTTTTTATGTTAAGGCATAAACACCTGCTGTTCCCTGCAGTTTAACTTATTGGTGACACTGTCTAAGTGAAGCACGTATAATGTAAACAGAACTGGTCCTAGCCCTGAACCCTGTGGAACTCCATAATTAACGTCAGTGTGTGAAGGATAGGGTCCATTTATTTAAACAAACTGGAGTCTATTAGATAGATTTGATTCAAGCAAATGCATTGACTAGTTTTTCAGCATCACTTTTGCAATATTGTGCAGCAGACAGAGTGAAGTCCCTAAAAGGTTTATATTAATATATTTTGGTCAGAAATTCTTTACAGTTGCACTGATGGGAGTTTAGAGCCAAATACAACAACTTCAGTTTTATCAGAATTTAGATGTAAACAATTTTCAGTCTTCCAGGCCTAAATGTCTTTAAGACACCATGTGATTTGTGTCACCTGCTTCCACAGAGAAAATTATGTGGTATATGTCACCTGCAAAGCAATTAAAATGTACTGAGGCCTAAGACCAGGATTACATTAGAAACAGTGGTATTTTAGCTCACTGGTTGAGCAGGCACCCTTATAGCATTTGGCTGGGATGCCACGGCTTACGTTCAAGTCTGACGTGTCTGTGTTTCCAGTCGTATTCACTGAAGGCAAAAAACCCTCAAAAAATAAAAAATCAGACCTGGCATAGAGCCCTGTGGAACTCCATGAGTAGTTTCCGTGTGCATACAGGAGTCACTGTTTGCACAAACATAAAAATATTTTTTGTGAAGGTTTGAAGACTTGAAATCAGGATTGAGAGTACACAGAAGCAGAGAAACGGCTCTAGTGAAAATTACCAGACAAGGGAGTTAAATGTTTTTACAGACTACAACCTAGCATTAAGATTTAAACTTCTTTTGTCTGATCGATCTCTTTGAGCATTTTAGTGAAATACATCTACTCTGTTTTAATTTACTGACACTGGAGAAATATTACCATAACATTGAATTGATTACTACTGAAGTGGAACAAAATTCAAGCAGGCTAGTTTCCTCGGATGAATCTTGGCTGCAAAAGATACAGGAGAGAGGAGCCTTGCACCAAAACAGCGCTCCGCTGTTGCTCTGCAGTCAGGAACATCAGCAGGCTTGTGATGATAGAGGTGTGCGATGCCAGAGGAGGGTGTGTGAGTACGTGGGTGCACATTTATACTGTATGTCTGCATCTCCATCTGTAAGTGTCAGCGAGTCATGTTCAAAACTCTGTGAGTTAGTGTGCGCGCTGTATCCGCTGCCTGGGGAGACAGGCCTCGTATCCAAGCTTGACAGTGTGATTGGATCCAGCGAGAATCCCAATGAAGCAATAAGTATCTCAGCGTCAGCTCTGCTCCCTGGGGTTTCTGTGCACAGCCCACAGGCCCGGGCCCAGCCCTTCCTGTTCAGTCCAGATGGAAAGCGAGGCAGGGTGGGATCTGGGGATGAAGAAAGGCAAGTGAACTTCAAACCCTTTCAGCTACTGTGAAGGTGACTGCAGCAAAACAGGCAGCAATGGATGGATGAGGGTATGGGAGGTCTTTGAACTAATTTGGAAACACCAAATGTAAAAAAAAGAAAGTATTTTTTATCACTACTATAACAAAAACTGGGACATGAATTTGACTCCTAAATTCAGATACTTTTGTTTCACGTCAGCCTGTTTTTAATTGACAGACAGCTGAAGAATTCTCTCTCTCTGAGTTGAGATGTGGTCCTGATTGGTTGGGGCCCTGTGGAGCTGTGGTCCCACAAGATAATATCGTTGATTTTTACTACAATAACTTTCTGTAATAATTAGGGACATCAGCAACTGTCACACATTTTACAGCACCCACAATTTGTTAAGCTAGCAGCAGCGACCTGAAAGCAATCAGCGTCAACCAGTGCAGCCAGTTGTTTCTTTTACTTAGTTATTGTTGTGGTTTAACATCTGGCTATGGTTTAGAGCAGTGTGTGTCATTATGGGTGGACATCGAATGGTCATAAAGAGGCTCATCAGCAAACGTAAGCAGCATGCTAGCTAGCATTTTGTAGGCAAAACTGACTCATGTTTAAGAAACACCAAAGGACATTAGTGTTGTTTAACACAATTTAGACATGCTGTATGTAAAAACACTACATCCAGACTCTTTGGTCTGGAAACAACCATAAAAAGTTATTTAATCTGTTTAGCATTTACCTACAGCGAGCAAAGACAAACCTCCAGGCTGAACCGCAGCCAGGAAGTAATGGCTCTCTTACTGCACATCGCTCCTCCCACAGAAACCTACTGCATAGGTTATTTATGAAAGCTGCTGTTATAATCTTTACATTGTAAGTTAAGTAACTTAAAGTGCTGTCACCTCCAGTTACAAAAAAAGGAAAAATAAAGACGCGCATCCTGTTAACATCAGATTAATGTTATAAAAACTGTATTTTAAACCCACTGACCATTTCCTAACTTTACCAATGAAGCAGACCTGCTCCTATTCAAGATTACAGGGAGCCAACTTACCATTTAAATACAAGCACCAAACGGCAGATATCATAGGAAGTGTAGCTTTCCTCACACATCCCCATTATTTGACATAGATGTCCACCCATCCACAGATTTAAGTGTTAATTAAGCATTAATCTCCCCATTCTCCACCGTGCCAGCTTTTCTTTAAACATCATTTCCCCACAGCTGTTCCAATCTGTCTAAGGTAGCCAAATTCTATTCCTGCCTGTTCCAGTTGGTCACTCATATCGCGGCAGCTGCACAGAGCAGGTTTCATCATTTGTTTTGTGTATTTCACCGAAACACTTTCAAAATCAGTGCTGTATGAAATTAAAGTATAATAAACTAATTAGAAATGTGCACAGGTGAAATCTAAAGAGAAGCTCATGCTCTGCAGAGGGGCCTGGGAGCCAGTACCCTTATCTCCCCTCTGCAGGCTACACACACACTCGTGTGATGCAGGGAGTGATAATGACACTGAAGCTATGGCTATTACAGCTACATCACTCAAGTTAATTCACAGCTAGGTCGTAGCATTTCCCCACCAGTTGCTGTGAGCCTATGCAGGGCTGCTCCATATGATTTAACACAGGTCCTCACAAATGATGACACTTGATTGTTGCATAAAGGACGCCATGAGGCTCCTGCTCACCGTGCCAGGAGAGGTCATTGTGACATCACCGCTGGCAGCCTGAATAGCTGCTCCTCCACCTGTCTGCCATTAAACATGGAAATCACTGCACTCATCCGTGACTGTTGAATATTCAGTGAGCAAACACAGTGTACAGCACTTCATCTTATTTTAAAATGGGTTATAAATACAAATTGTTGCACAACAATTGCACAAAAACATGATTTTTTTTTCTCCCCTAAGCCCAGGAGAAAATGAGGTTGATACGGAGACTCAGCTGCAATAACCCATTCACTTATTGAACGACAGCGGCTGGATACACTCTCAGCCTCCGGGCTTAAACGAAAAAGCAGAGCATGGCTGCCTGATTGAATGGGTTTGTAATGCAAGCCAAATAGGTTTGTTCTAATGGGAATCAGCCTTGGTGACGGCTGCAGAGGCTTACGCTAGCACTATAACAGCAGTAAGCAGAAGGGGCAAACACCCCATTGCTTCTTGATTGGCTCTGAGAGGCAGAAGCAATACTAAGGGTTTGCTGTGTTTACTAATGGTCGTTTTAGTGGGGTAATATTCAATGAGCCTTAACTTTAGGAATCTGTAGTTCAGAGAAAAGGTGCAAGTTTGTGTTGCGTGCGTGTGTCATTTCCCGCTCATGATCACATGTCTGTGCAACTTAATTAGGTCCAAAGTCTGCTCTGGTTTTAACACTGGACATCCTGCTGTCCTGCCTTGAGCCATACAAACTTTTGACGAGCTGGAGTGATGCAGAGGTCGCCCAGTGATCTGAATGTCCCGTACAGGTAAGAAAGGTAAGAAGTTCATACTATAAGGTAAAGACGGTACGATGTTGGTGAAGTTCAACCATCTACCAAAAACCTCTAGAAGTAGGCACTTGGCAACAGTGGGGAGGAAGAACTCTTTTTGAACAGGAAGTGACATCCAGCAGAAGCAGATTCAGGGAGGGACATCCATCTGCTGCAGTGGGGATGGAGGGAAAACTTGGAGACAAAGATTAGCAGCTGTGACACAACAAACATCTCACAATGGAGACAGAATGGAGGGCGGAGCCTTCAGCTTTCAGACAGCTCAGTTTGGCTTTGGGCGACAGACACCCTCTCTACTTTTAAGATTAGGCTTCAAACCTTTCTTTCTGATAAAGCTTATAGTTAGGGCTGGATCAGGTGACCCTGAATCCTCCCTTAGAGCTGCTGCAATAGGCCTAAGCTGCTGCAGACTTCCCATGATGCACTGAGTTCACTCAGTTCTTTTTATTCCAGTTTGACTCTGCATTTAATCATTAGTTATTCTTCTTCTCTGCACTTCCTCCGACGGTGTGTCTTTTGTCCCGTCTTGGTTCTCTTCTCCCTCTTGGCTGCCCCTCCCCCTCCCTGAGCTTCGTTCTGCCGGAGGATTCTTCCTGTTAAAAGGAAGTTCTTTCTTACCGCTGTTGCTCATTGGGCATTGGAGTGAACATTGTTTTGCTGTTGGTGTTGGATTGCAGACATCCTGTTTAAGTGATAAGCTTGCTCTTTCTTTGTTGTCAGACTCTGTGACAACTCCACAACACCATAAAACAGAGAGCGAACCCCAACCATCAGATGATGCCTTATGATGAAGCACTTGGTGAAAGTGGGGAGTGAGAACCTTATTTCCACAGGAAGAGAACTCCAGGAGAAGCAGCCTCGGGGAGGGGCAGTCGTCTGCCACGATCAGGCATGAGGAAAGTTTTTCTTGGAGATAAAATAACCCAGGCGTGACTCTTGGCAGTCACCAGTGAACCAGTGCATGTCACATACTAGAAAATGTTTCCTTTCATGCATTTATTTTGTCTTTACATTTTTTACATTTAAAAGATTTTTATTTGCCAAGATTTTTCATTTATCGCCCTGTTGTCATACTACCGTGAACATTTTTGCTTTTACAGACCAGAATCGTCTTCTGCAACCATGATGCAACTGAGGTAAAACATATAAAGAGAGAAATTAACAAAATAAAACAAAACCTATGTTTTTTTAGTAGGATTGTCATGGGTTTGAGTCACCCTTTCACTCAGCTCTATAACATTGGTGATCATTTGTATGTGCATGCTTTCCTTCGGCATATGTAGGAACAGATTGGAGGGTCAGAGCTGATGTCAGCACATGGGGGTGGAGGAGTGGGGGGTGTCTGCCTCCTAATTAGCCACAGACCAGAGGGAGCACTGAGGGGGCAAAGGTGAAGAGTTGAGCTGCAGGACACCGAGGCTGCAGCAAAGAGGAGGGTTAGCAACATTCTCATGCAGTTGCATCACATTCATGTGAGCAGAGATGTCATTAGTGTTTGTGCGCCATTGTCAGCTCTGAACATGCATCATGTATGTATGAGAATCAAAGAGCAGGTCCTCGTGCCCTGATCTGAATACTGCTGGCAGATGTTAAATAACTCTCACTGTCACACTGCTGCAATCTCTTTGACAAGTGCAGACAGATGTGCGTTCAGTTTCTCATACATGTGCAAATGCAGATTATAGACTCTTTTTTTTTTTTTACATTTAGAGAGTGCATTTGCTGGAAAACACAAACCAGAGGAGCGCTCTGAATTTATTCATTACCACCCCAACGTGACAAACTGGAGCAAAGCTGGACTAATGATGGGACAGAATGCAAATGTGGGGAAACTTAGTCTGCTGGGAGCAGCAGGCCTGATCTATGAGTTTGCATGTGTTCTGCAGCCTAATACAGCTCAGATAAGTAGACACTTTCCTCGGGACGTAGCTGCAGCGCAAAGCACATCAGGAAGGCAGCTCGTCCTCGGGTTTGTGCATGTACACATAAGTGAGTGAGCGAGTCGAGCCTGCCAAATGTGATTTATTTAGACAAATGCGAAAATATCAATCCAGTGATGAATGAGCGGCTGGATAAGCAAAACTCTTGAGATTGCTCATCATCTTCAAATTTAAGGCCGAGCACAGGTTCCAGCCCTTACGGAGAACAAATAATACAGCTGATTCTCGTTGTGCTCTCATCTGACAGGTGAAATTGGACTTACACAAACTATTCAGGGTTTTCAATCCGACCGTCTCCGGGTATTTGTTAGACTTTCAGGACTACTTGAGAGATCAGCGTGCGCGTTTAGCGCTAAATCCTATAATTGAACCGACTGCAGCATATCAATACAGAGCAGTAAAAAAAAGAAATGTTTGAGACTCACGTGCACATATGCATTCGATCTGCAGCCGAGTACGTGCTCACAGAGTCAGTCAATAGTTTCTCTGGACCTTGACTTTTCAAATGTGTTCAGAACTTAAGAGGGGAAGCAGGGATTGAGCGGAGGCTTAGTAAAGCTCCACAGTCTGTTTTTGCTGCAGGTTCTCCTCCACATGCTGCTTCATAAAACATTTTGGCAGACTGGACACATAATTGCACGCACTGTTTGAAACACTTTGTTTCCTCCACTTCTGTGTTATTAAGTCTAACGAAATCTCTCCTTTCCCCTCCACTTTCACTGTGACGTTTGGTGGTATTAGAAGTGCAGTGTGTACAAAAAGACAAAACACACTTTTTTATGTAGAGGAAAAAAAAGAAGCACTTAGCTGTCAATTATTTTTCTTCTCTTAAATATTACAGGCTGCTGCACAAAAGACACCAGCAGGAGCTTTTAAAACAGGGTTTGAGTTAGACAGCTGCTGAACACAGAGCTGCTGTATATGTCTGTTTGCACATTTTTAAAGTACCACCAGAAATTCTGAACTCACTACCAAGCGGTGTCATACATAGTAGAGAGATGCTCAGTTTACATTGTGGGCCACATACAGCCGACTTTGATGTGAAGTGGCCTGAACCCGATCTGGTAGACTGTCCTTAATTATAGGTTTAGAATATAAAGTTTTCATTAATTCTTTTACCTTTTTGCAGTATGGATGGCAATGGGGTGATAAGATGTAAAACTTACGAAAATACAGTTCAAAGATCTAAATCTGTGCACTACTTCACATTGGATTGGAGTCTTTGCCGAGCCTGGCAGCACCAGACAAGCCCTAAAACCAACATGCAAAGACAGGCAGGGCAAATTTCATCCTTCCATCTGTAATATAACACTAGATAACAATGAAATGTTTCAAATCGACTTTGTAAAGAAACGTAAAAGCTTAGTGAGACCCCTTTAACCTCATTCAAACTTAGCTGGTTAAAACAGTCGGCTCTATTCATCTTCCACACTCTTTAATCCTCACCTCCTTCATTTGTCTATTATTTGATGTTGGCACACACACATTTGATAATTTGTCTAATCCTCATTTCTCCCATGCAAACATTTCCAATTTTGCTAATGATGAAATGATAATGAGATGGGCGTACCCATGCATAAAGAGAGCAGCGGTGCAGTCATCAGCTGCTGCTAACTAACATGAATTCCCTGACTTGCGTAGCTTGACAGGCCAGAGTGAAACACTGAAATCTGCACAAGCTGGTGGGGAAGCAGGCTTCAAAACAACACCTGCTGTCTGCACTTCATTAGGAGGTGAAAGAGGCATCGGCCCCGTGACACTGCTGTACAATCAGAGTGGGCTGAGGGTTTCATCAATCAGCAGAGCTTTATTTGTGTAGCATCAGTCATGCTCAAGTTAATGCGGCTCAAAGCGCGCGGCTGCTGCTATTACGACCAAAAAGATGAAACGGGGAAAAGAAAAACAATCAAATAGGATAAATGAGTGAATGAAATAATACAACGACTATAAACTGAATGCAATCAGAGGTCGAGTCATAGAGCCTGGTTTTCAGTCACGTTCAGCATCCCAATGCGCTCAGGTAAAGTTTGGGGTCATATCAGATAATAACACGGTGGCCCTGAGAACTGCGGTCAAGTGAGCCCTCACTCACGAAGTCACAGTCCAGCTAGCCGCACCGAAAATGTGGTTGCACTACTCTTACGCATATTACGGTATCGGTGCCGACTGGCTTAGAAACGCAGTCTTTTCTGCCCTGACACTGTTTTACTTCACAATCCACTCCCAGTTTTGGTTTATCTCCACTCCTCCCCCCGTGATCCACAGCCCAAATTACTGTATGATTCAGAGAAAATTAACAATGAAATTTACCCAATTTACTCTACTGTACTTTTAATGTCCTCATCTTTGAGCTCAGATTACAGGAAAACTAGAAGAGGTACTGCATAAGGTTAACGTTAAAGCTGGGGCAGAACATTAGTTGTTCCCTACACATTCAGTAAGTACTGCTTTAGATCGACATTCCAGACATATCCTCATGACTGAAGACTGAGTATACGTAAGTAAAAAAATCTTTATTAACCTTTGTATTCCAAAACTTTATCATGTTTACAAAGTAATAAAAGCTTATTTATTATACTCCTCAGGTCATTGAAAGTCTCCTGCACCACTGGGCCATTCGGCTAAATCTGGGGAATAATATCTACATTATGAACCACTACACGAGCGGTGTGATCCTCTATGGAGAGAGAACTAATCAGGAGACAAAGCTTGTCCAAGGTAAAAAAAAAATTAATATATTCTAGAATTAATTTTTTAAAAGTTAATTAATGTCTCGAAATGGAAAAAGTATTGTTGCAAATTTGTAATTAATTCCTAATATGTCACAGGTGAACTTTGACAACTACAGAGCCATTTTATCCTTTGTGAACATTGGAAATATACACTGGAAGTTTCTGGTTAGTACGAGCACATTATTGATAATTTATGTACTTTTTAAATTTATATATCTATCGCAGTACATAAATGCAGATGACAGCTGTCTGTATTTGGTCGATCCTTCAAGAAACTCTTTGGAGCAGGAAGAGTCTGACCGTGCAGCCAAAAGATTCCGGTAATTATGCGTTATTACATGTATATAATAACATGAAGATATTAGAGAAGTGACAGGAGGACTTAGGAGGTCTTTTTCTAAAGGTGAACGTATGGTTGTAGATTAAAGTTTAATAAAATCTGTGGTTATCAGTTCTTTAAAGAATTTAAAAAAATAATTCAAAATTACTCACGTATGTAATTTTAAATAATAAAAAAAACTGACAGTGTTTAAGCAGTGAGACATTTGAGACAGTTAACATTTGTAGATTTAAAAGAACATGTTAATAATTTTGATACTTCATCTAACATAATGTAGAGCACAGGGCTTTCTGACACACCATTAAAAACAGTGATATGTACTATATGTGTCTTTTTCTGTGTGACTTTTATCTTTCATTATTATATAAATGTGATGTATGTTATGTTCACAAAGTGAATACTTCAAAATGAGGAGGACATGCTACAACAAAACAGACTGGGTGAATGTGAGACTTCGAGGAGGAGTACTGACACATCCATTTCAACGGGATGGTTCTAGCTGCGGAGTAATGGTCATCGTGGTATGGTACCACATTAACTCAATCATATTGTTCTGTGAAATTAGATAAGAAGATGGGGTGGGGGAAGTTAAAATTATCTTAAAAGGTTAAATTGTGTAAACAGGAAGTGTAACATTTGCAGATGTTTTCAATTAAATTTTTTTTATTTTTTATTTCAGATGGCCAAAGAAGTAATGGAAGCATTCCCAAATAAACCAGAAATGACATTTTTGACGACAAAAAAAGAGATGGCCCAGGCATGAAGGACATTTGCACAGACAATACTTGAGGCCTCCGGTGTGTAATATCTTCTTCAAATGGACATATTTATTTGTGTCAAACTGATGAACACTAACATATATATATATATATATATTATGTTTTAGTATTTGACAGTGACGACAACTGTGCCATGTGTGCAACGGTGAAACCACCTAATCCAGGACCCTCCATCACTGACTGGGTATAGTATTTTTAAAAATAGTTTTATGTTATCTACAACAAAGTATTTGACTCTGTGTCTTTAAGGATTGTAATTGATTAAAACATAGAATTATTTATGGAATGTGTTTATGAAAGTTCATATGTTTTTGTTTACAGATCCAGTGTGATAACTGCAACCGCTGGTTCCATTCTGAATGCCTGGACATGACAAATGAACAGCTCAGCAGTGCTCAGAAGACAGAGTGGAAGTGTGTGCTTTGTGTAACCTAATTCCACATGCAGTGAAAGCTACTTGAATAATCTGCTTATAGTTGTTATTGTTGTTTTGAGGAACACATGTGTAAAACACAATGTGTATAACATTCTTGCTTTGTGCACGTACTTCAAGTATTTCCTTTTTGATTTTTTGGGTTGATTTGTGTGATGACAGATAATGAATAACAATATATCTAAACTGTGTAGTAGTAATATGAGAAATCAGTAATCTGAGAAATGTAATTTCTCACCCTGACCGGTTGAGGCAGATGGCCGCCCCTCCCTGAGCCTGGTTCTGCCGGAGGTTTCTTCCTGTTAAAAGGGAGTTTTTCCTTCCCACTGTTGCTCATAGGGGGTCATATGATTGTTGGGTTTTTCTCTGTATGTATTATTGTAAGGTTTAACTTATTATGTAAGTGCCTTAAGGTGACTATTGTTGTGATTAAGCACTGAATAAATAATGTCTAAAACTAAAGTTGCTACTTCAGGTGGTGTGTGAATGACATTTTGAAAAATTTAAATTGTGTGTGGAAAGAAATTTCTTGTAGTTAAGCAAATACTTCAATGAACTCATTTTGTTCGGTAATGGATTAGGATTTAATTTTACAGTAATTTTGGCTGTGGATGACAGGGTGCAGAGTGGAGATGGCCTGGATTCAGAATCCAGTGAGATATCTGTGTCACCTCTTCTAGTTTTCCTGTAATCTGAGCTCAAAGATGAGGACATTAAAAGTACAGTAGAGTAAATTGGGTAAATTTCATTGTTAATTTTCTCTGAATCATACAGTAATTTGGGCTGTGGATCACGGGGGGAGGAGTGGAGATAAACCAAAACTGGGAGTGGATTGTGAAGTAAAACAGTGTCAGGGCAGAAAAGACTGCGTTTCTAAGCCAGTCGGCACCGATACCGTAATATGCGTAAGAGTAGTGCAACCACATTTTCGGTGCGGCTAGCTGGACTGTGACTTCGTGAGTGAGGGCTCACTTGACCGCAGTTCTCAGGGCCACCGTGTTATTATCTGATATGACCCCAAACTTTACCTGAGCGCATTGGGATGCTGAACGTGACTGAAAACCAGCCTCTATGACTCGACCTCTGATTGCATTCAGTTTATAGTCGTTGTATTATTTCATTCACTCATTTATCCTATTTGATTGTTTTTCTTTTTCCCCGTTTCATCTTTTTGGTCGTAATAGCAGCAGCCGCGCTGGAAGCGCGCAGTTACAGTTACAGCCGCGCCGTAATATGCGTAAGAGTAGTGCAACCACATTTTAGGTGCGGCTAGCTTGACTGACTTGGTAAGTCTCCAACAGCGTAGGTTACAGTTATATTAGCATGACCAATTATGCAAATTAGGTGATGACGTCATTTAGCGACTTTTAGAACAGCCAATAGCGATCTTCCTTACTGAGGAGTTGGCAACACTGGTCGGGTTATTGTCTCCCCAGAAACACTTCCCCTGTGTTTTTTCCTATTTCTGTTGTGTTTTGTGTGTTTTTGCCGCGTTTTTATTATTGCTGGTGTTTTATTAAGTTGCAGTCCGTTTGGCCTCTCAGGGCCACCGTATAATAAGCTCAGGAGTTTCAGTGTTTTGGGAAAGTGGAGTTACCAAACAAAAATAAATGAATGAATAAATAAAATTTAGCATTTGATACCAGTGAACAAGAAATCAACTTGATGCCATTTTTCCAGCCACAAACTGTATATAAAAGATGGAAACAGCTTCCAGGACTGAAAGTTAAGCCTGTATTCTTGACTCCTGCAAAAAGGAGTGAATGGGGAAACAGTCCTGCAGGTCTCATGTCTGCACTTCACTGATGAGTTCATTGTTCTCAGCTTGACACTTCACAAACCAACGCTGGCGTTGCAGTGGCTACACCACTCTGTTATACTGTGGTTGTAGCTAAAGGTTGCTTTTATTTCATTTTGACTTTTTGTTTTTAATTCGGTTTAATTTCAGTTAGTACAAGTATTACAATATAAACACAGTAAACTATAATAACCTTGTTTAGAACTCCTTTTTTCTTCTCAACCTGTGTCTTACTTTAAAGTTTCAGTATTTTGTCACAGGTCAGAGGCCGGGCACAGCCTGTTGCAGGGCTAACACAGAGAGGTGAACAACCATTTGTACTCTCATTCACACCAAGGGCCAGTTTGGAATCACCAGCTAACCTGACCCCACTAACTGCACAGCTTTGGACTGGAAGAAGCCAGAGTTCCCAGACAGAGCTCAGACAGCCACACAGGGAACAAGCAAACTCCACAGAGAAAAGCCGTGGCGAGCTGGTAGATTCAAACCCATGACCTTCTTCCTGTGAGGCGTAACCACCACATCACCATGCTGCCTTATCCTAAATATACAGGCAGGGTAAAGGCTGTTTGTAAGCGGGTACATCAATAGACTACAGTGCTTTGCTTCTTAAGTTTGACGTCTTCTGTTAAGTCCTTCTTATCCACCGTCTTATTCATACTACACTGTATGATTAATGTTAAATGTTTACTCTGATCATTTCAAACTTTTTTTGCATTTCTCATAAAGTTACAGCCGTCACTGCAACAGAAAACAAACACACGTTAATAGCATGTTTTATTAAGGCTGAGAGGAATAAATGACATAATACAGGCAGATAATGGCAGAAGTGTGACAGGCCGATAAAACATGTCTTTTGTATTTGCAATGTTTTATCAAATCAGTAGTGATGAAAAAAAAGTAACAGTATTTAATGTATTCACTTATATACGGAGGAATCTTTGACCTTTGCATCAGTTTGAGCTTCCCTGCTCTGCCAGAACCCAGTGACATCTGGTTTTATGCTGCACACAACCAACCCGTGCAAACACAGAATGTCCAAACAAAGATTATGTAAACATTTTTTAATATTCACGCACCGGGGACTGTATTTCTGCCTTAACAGCCGAGCAGTAAATGAAAAGGACGTTCCTCTCGTGTGTGGCTTTAGGTTGTCCCTCTGAAGGATTTCAGCTGAAAGCAAAAGATACCGCTGGGAGTAGCTGGAGTCTCTCAGCTGCTGCAAAGCAAACACTTCAGTCTGAAATGAAGGGGACATCAAGTGTGCATAGAAAACTAGACATTTAGCTCCATGCAGATTTATTCACAGTGCATACACTTCCTTCATATTTCATGACAAAATAACCATCTAACTGTGCTCGTTTCCTTCCGTCTTACAAATATAAATACTGCAGTATACAAAACATAGAAAGAGTTTCTCATTCATCAAGAGCTGGATGGAAACGCACACACAAAAACATTTGTCACATTGCGCTAGTTTTAAAAAACTGCATATTGTGCAGAAGGCACTGCGAGTTCATTTATAGAGTTTGTCTTTTAGCAGAAACACATGATGATAACAGCAGAACGTAGACATTTAACCACATCTAGAACAAGACAAGAACGTGGAACAGTGAAACCGTTTTGCTTTGAAATACATTCATGATTATAAATAACATTTAAACTCTTTACAGCGTGCAGATATTTAGCTCATGTTTTAAAGTGTTTCTTAAAGTTTTGCTTTAATAAAACGTCACAGTCTCGGTCCCGAGCACATTCGCCGACTGCCTGGCTGAGGTAGTCGTGGAGGATTAGCGTCGAGTGCAAGGCCTCTCACTACGTTTCGCTCCGGATGAGCACCAGCAGGTAGAGTCGGTGTGTGTGTGTGTGTGTGTGTAGAGATGGATAAAGGTTTGCTAAAGGTTGAACTAATCTGCGAGAGGTTTGGCCCCGTCGACTCTGGAGTCGTCCAGGTCTGAAGTGGTCAAGCGTTTGAGAGGCGCTGTGGCAGAGGAGAGAAGAAAGGATACACAGTTACAGTCCTGCTTCATTTACTAACCAATCACAGCGCGACATTTGTGAACAAGACATTTCTCACTAACAAGGCGCATAAAATATGATTTGCACTACCTGCTACAGCCGAGGAAGTCGCAACTATGTGTGGTAATTACTCTGTGTATTAACACCAGTGTTAAACAGCCACGAACATGTTTTGGCCTCCATAAATCTCGGAGGTAAAATGGACACAAAGCCACAGAAAGTACGCTCCTCTCGCGCTGAGCCAAATATTTGTAAGCGGCTTAGGAAAGTGCTACAAGTGATTTTGGCTGGGAGCCACTGGCAGTGATACAGGCAGACTCACTGATGGAAAGTTTCAGCGCCGGCTGCCATGTTTACATACTAAATGAAAGCGAGACTGTGCCCTGAATGTAACATGGTGAAATTTGGGTTATTGGTGAGCGTTATACTGAAATGAATGCAGATCAGAAACACCGAAACATCCTTTTCACTACAGTCTGGATGCAGTTATTTAGAAAAATAAGAATACTTTGACAATAATTTTACTCCAAAATACCGCCATACTGTATATTTTCAAATGATCAGCAATACAGAGACGCAGGAAATACACGACTCCCATCAAAGCATAGAACAGAAAGGCTGTCAGAGCTGCTCCGTACTCACACAGTGTGTCAGATCTCAGCGAGCTGCTAAGGAACGTGCTGGAGCCTTTGATAGTGGAAGAAAGAGCAGCCAGTTTGAGGCTCCTGGAAGTGGCATCCAACTTCTCGTGCTGGAAGAGGAGGACATGGTAACGAGAATGTAGGCTACACACCAGATTTACAAAAAACAACCAAACACACACAACAGCTCTTTGGGTGGAAGGAGAAAGAAACCTTCAAGAGATTTATAGTCGTAGTGAGCCTGAGGATGGCATCGGTGCATACACTCTGCTGTCAGGTTATGATACAGCTGGATAAAGATAATCTAATGCAGCCGTCCTGCTATAAATCCAGCCTCCGTGAAGGAGATAAACTCCAGTTTTTATTGAAACTGTCTTAGAAAGATGTCGAATCAGCTGTATGGTTGTTTTGGAGGCTACGGTCTGTGCTGCCGATGCATTTCTATTACTTTATTCAGCCCTTTACATCGCTGAGCCTCAGACGGCAGTTTGCTGATCTGCAGTGTTCGTGATGTGAAGATGCAAAAAGCCGGTGAACTGAACGAACGGACAATCCATCAAGAAGCTGGTGAGACATTATGAGTGTGCTTAATTTAACAATAATGTAAAATTTCCTTTACGCCATGCAATGATCAACATGGACAGTGAAGTGTGCTGTGCAGGATTCTCAGATTATGCACGCCAGGCCATTTTATTATAGCTAAAATAAACCATCTGAATGAGTCTGGGCTCACGGAAGGGAACAAGGCAGACAAATGCACCACGCTAAAGGAAAGGGGCTGCTGTCTGGGTCCCCAAAATACCTGTATGCATATCAAAAATGCTCGACAAAATGATTTACATAAGCAATCTCAGTCTTTCCAGTAAGTATACGCCAAAAAGTCATAACATTAAAACCTGGCCACCTACTTGATCACTCCTGCAGACAACAGAGACCACCCCACCTGCACCGCCTCAAGGCAATGACGCACAGAGGGCTTCCCTCCATCATTTTGCAAAAAGAAAAACTGCTCAGAAACAGCTCGAGTAATACAAATCAGAGTCTTGGGCATACCAGCATCTACTGGAACAAACCTGATCCACAAAACATCCCAGCCCGAAAGATCCGCTGCCAACGTCCCAGTGCCAGACACCACAAATGTCAGAGGCTGTTTAGGAGGCAGGAGGAAAGCAGGTGTTTTTAATGTTGTGGCTGAATGCTGTGTACCTGTGCTGCCACACTTGCAAGTTTACAGGTCTCCAAAAACGCTGGTGTGCAGTTTGAAAAAATCCCTTAATATTCTGTGGTTCTTTTGCAAGGTCCACAAAAGTGCAGCGGCTGCTTAAAGTATGACACGGAGCGCTTGTTGTCTTTTATCCTCAGGATATGGATCACTAACTTTCCAGATGTCCTACGAGGCCAGAGCAGCGGCGGACCAAAGAGATAATCTGAGCAGAAAAGTCCGAGAGCCTCAGCTAAACGTGACGTGGAAGCTGTTTGTAAGCACTGCTGCCTCTGTTTAAGATGGAAGTCTTATAAAGACATTCATCCATCCTTTTTCCTTAAACAAACCCCGAGTGGGCAGCAGCTATTAAGCTAATGCAATCGCCACTTATCACTCAACGCAGGAGTCATTTGGCAAACCAATGGGGTAATCTGGCAGATTAAAGCCATTTAAAAAGTGACTGTATGGCTGTTTAGGGGAGGCTGTAAACTGCTGATGGCAATCAGCTGTCAACGACGATGTCTTGATGACTCCCTCGGCTGCTTTATAACAGAGAGGATGACAGTGGCAATTAACAGTGAGTGGCAAATTCAAGTTGGGGTTTTGTGTTG